AGTTAGATTCTAGAGCCCTGCCTCCCCAACCCCTACCTGATCCTTCCCCAACTCAGGATAGGTGACACAATGGCCCAGCTGAAGCTTGCAAGAAGCATCCAGATCTGGCTCTGAACCTCGTAGGGACATAGTCTGGATGCTGGAAGTGGGGGAGGGTATCTACCCACTGACCCTCAGAAGAACAACCCTTTCAAGCCAGGAGGAGCTGTAGCCCTGGAAAGAGGTGGAGCCTCTGACTGTTGGGACTACCCTCACCACAGGAATGTCCCTGGCTGAGTTCTAACAGGAAGCTATGAGGTGTGTGTGTGTGCACACGCGTGAGCGGGGGAGAGAGGTGTGAAAAAACCACAGGTGCCCCTCACCTAGTACTCTAATACTTTCAGGTCGTGTTCGGAGTGGGATGCCATTTGGAGCCAGCCTGCTGTGTCAGACATACCCGGGGTTTGGGGAGGGTGTCAGAAGACCCAGGAGGGCAGATGGGACATCCCATGGGATTCTAGACATCCTTGACTGGGACTCTTCCTCAGAGAAGCAGATCCTGAGTTTATGACCCCTCACCCTCCCACAGAGCACTGTAATGCTTTAGCTGGTAAGCTGGGCCCTGAGAAAAAGAGTTTGGGACACTGGAGGAGGGGGAGCGGTGTCGTCACTCACAGGCCTTGAGAGCTCCTTGGCAGACCAGCACCAGTCCTATCCTCCCTTTTGCACATGCAGTGGGGTATGGGCTAGGCTGGGGCAGCTGCCATTTCCTGCCTTCCCTCTTCTCCAAGCCCCTGCCCTCTCAGCCACCTGTGCTTACTGGCACCTGTCCCGGCCTTGCCTGCTGAGAGCCCAGCCTGGATCTGGCCTGGGCTGTGAGGTGGGAGAGAGTGCAAGGCCAACAGCCCCCTTCCTGGCCCCATCTTGGCTGCTGTCACCTTTTGGAGCTCTGATTTCCTCCTGGTATGACCCCTGCACCTGCTCCCAAATCTGTCTCCCCTCCCTTTCAGACCAGTGCCTTTGCGACTACCCAGTTTACCTCTATATTCTTGAAGCAGAGGACAAAGATCTTTTTCTGTCCTTCCCACACTCCCAAATTAAGTTCATGTTTTCTTCTTGGCATCATCCCATCTCCTGAGAGGTAGGGGACCTGGCTTTTAGTTCCAGCTTTATCATTAACCCCCTATATGACTTTGGGCAAATTCCTTGACTTTCTAAGCCTATTTCCCACCTATATATACAATAGGGTAAAATAATCCTTGACCTTTGACAAGCTTCCCATGGGAAGCTCCCTGGGCCAGAAGTTGGACCTGTGTGGCCAATCCCACTTGGGAAGGGCAGGGGGGCTGCTGCCGCCAGAGGAGGGTCAGGAGGGATGACCAGGGGACTTCTGTTTGCACCAATCACTTGGCTGCTGATAGGATCAGATGGCAATTTCACAGGAGCCTCAAATCCACCCAAGTATCAGCTCTCAGTTATCACCTGCTCAGTCACCAGATACACAGAGGCCAGCTCTCCCAGGCATGACTGACCCTTGCTCTGAGAGGAGATGGAACTGAGTGCGGGAGATCCTTGCCTCCCTGGGTCAGAATGGACAGGGCAGGTCCCACCCAGATCTACCATCCTCACTTCATGAGGGCTATACCCCTTCCCCAAGAGATGACCATCATCCCTCCCACAGAGCTGTCCAGCTTTGCAAGCTCAAGCCTGGGTCTCTCTCCTCACTAAATTAAGAGCAGATTTTATCTGTTCCACTAATTGTGCTGCCTCCTTCCCCCTCCTTGAGGCCAACTAGCTGGGCTCAGCAAAGAACTTCAGGCCACACCCGACCACCCCAGCCCCAGCCCACCACAGCCTCTGGGCCACAGCTGCAGGCGCTTAGCAGCCTTCTGAGTATTTATAGCCAAGTCCAGCCCCTCCCCCAGCTGGCTACAATTACAGGCTTGGCCAAACTTCCAGCCCTTGCCTCCCTGGCCTTGGAAGGGAAGAGAACAGGCCAACACCAGAGGGATGGTACAGTACCTTGGTAGGGGTGCAGAGGGCCAGGTGTCAGTTGTTGAGAGAGACAGGCCCCTGCCCTTGCCTCAAACTGCAGTAAATGCCTCAAATTGCAACTACGAAGTACAGTCTTCAGGGCAACTTGGCCCAGCCCTGGCCAGAGTTTGGCAGAAAGCAAGTTCCATTTCCTCTCTTAGCAACCAAGTGGGCAGGACTGGACTCTGGGCTCCTGGGCTCTGGCTTTTAAGTTGGGCCGTTAGGCTCTGGATTCTAAGGCCTGAGTTCTTAAGTCTGAATCTGGACTCTGAGAACTAGACTTTGAGATCAGGGCTCTGGGCAATGCGGCCTGTATTTGGGGCCCTCGGGCTCTGGGCAGGGTCTCCAGTTCATTAGAGATCTCAGAAAAGAACCATAGCTCTAAAGGAGGGCTGCCTGGCTGCTGACCTAGTTGTCGCGGCTCATTTCCTTCTTCCCTGTGTGGTCCCACAGTTCCCAGCACAGGGACCTCTGGAGCTGAAGCCCTGTGTAAGCCCAGCCAATGAAACAGTGACTAAGCCCCAAGCACCCTGCCTGAGTGACCTGGTCTACACCAAATAAGCCAATGGTGCCCACATGCTTCCACCAGGCTTCAGACTCATATGGTCACCTACTCACTGGATATCACCTGGGGGCCCACAGGAAACTCAGATTCAGCATGTATAATCTGATCTCATTGTCTCCACAAACCTGCTTCTCCTATGCTCCTCATTTGGGCTCTGACATCATCCTTACCCTGGGCCTCTCAAGCCACAAACCTGGGGGCCAACCCCTGGCTCCTCCCATCCCCCACCACCCTGGAGACTATTTCCTTTGGTAGCCCAAACTCCCCAAGCATACCTTTGGCATCTTGCGCAAGTTGGGTGAGAGTTTGAGGCAGGTGACATGCCCACGGTCATCACCCACAATGATGATGGGGTGGATGGGATTGAACTGCACGTGGGTGATCTTGTTCTTCTTTTTGGCCACCACGGGCTGATTGCAAATGGCATCGTACTTGTTGATGGATAAGTCAAACACGTGGGTCTGTGGAGAGGTGGGTGTCAGCACACTTGGGGCTAAAGAGGCTTCAGAGGAACCACCCCTGGGCTTTCTGGGGAAATAGGATAGAAGCCTAGCACACTGGAGCTGGAGGCTGGAGAGAGGGCATTTGTGTCTGTTTATGTTTTTCCTGTGGTTGAGGAAATGAAAATAAAAAGCTTAGGAGAAAATTTAAGTCTATTCAGAATTAGCAATAAAAGCAACTACCATTTATTTAACACTGCTGTGTACTAGGGTCTGGGTTGTATCACCTAATTATAACCCTCAGAGCTGCTCTATAAGGTAGGTTCCGTTATCTCCATTTTATAAATGAGGAGATAGAGGCTCTTAAGGCTAACTTGCTAGTAAGTAGCGGCCAGGGTTCATACCAGTTAATATATGTAAGGTATTAAGATAGTGCTTGTCACATAAGTGCTTAACAAATGTTTGCTCTTATTTTTACCATGCCCTAAGTCCAAACCATTA